AATTATTTAGACAGCAAAATTTTTGCACTTTCAGGGGCAAAAAATTAAAATTTAATATAATACTCTATGCCAACCCTGCTGAAAAATATAAAACATAAGATGGTGATGTTTAACCTTAGACATGCAACAGCTTTGAGATGCAGCCATTTGCAGCGTGGAGGCGAATGGTCCTAGGAGTGTTTCATTGAGATGCTGCACACCACATGCTGAGCGGTTTTCCAAAGTAGCCGTCCTTAAAACTGAATAAAGCGTAACACATTAGTAACCACAAATGATTTTGGATACACTACTTTAAAAAAACGTCACCTATAGGTAAGGTAAAATAACAAACAGAATAAACTGAATATGATAGACACATACTAAAGAATATTTTAAATCAGAGTATAAGGATCACAAAGGTAGTTGAGGAAAGGTGCGCAAATCTTTAAATGCTTATGGGGAAGTATTGGTGATAGTTTGAATGACAGCATGTTTGATAATTTCTAGCACCGGATAGATTTTAAAAAATGTAAATAAAATTGTTTAGCGCCTTTTCGACTCATTTGTGCAAACTCTGGATAGCCTATTCTTTTGAAAATTTGTAACTAGGTGATGATAAAGGAATGCCAGAAACTTGACAATAAATAGAAGTGTACTTAGCTTTGGCATACCACAATCACTACCCAGCGAGATAACAACCATAATTGGACGGGTAGATCCTATGAAATGTTGGCATGGCTGGCAGCTGTCAACAAAACAGTTCAGTTAGTGTTAAAAATCTTAGGTCCTTACTCAAGAGACATGTTCAGAAACTTACGTCATACAGTAAGAGAGGTTGAATAAGACCCTTACATGTCATTCAGAGAGAATTTAATAGACAAAGCTCTGCATATTGTTGAAAGAAACACATCAATTTCAGCAAGCGCATGAAGTTCTCTGTAAGTAAGGAAAAGAGATGCGGCGCAACTTCCAGTCCTGAAAGATAGGTAAAAACAAGCTAACTTATAATTGAAACTCTCAGAATACATATTGAAGCTAATAGTAAAACAAAGTGCAATGGGTGCCAGCAGTGTGGGTGTTTTGTTGCAGTTCATCTCCGGCATATGTAATAATTGCCCTCCTCTTCGAAAAAAAAAAAACGAAGAGCGACCTCTATGGCAGAACCATTTTGAATTTTCAATCATAGTACAGAAAAATATGAGCCTATTGGATCAACATTCAAATTAGTTTGTTATGTCAAACTGTTACTCTAATCAAAATCTTGCAAATCAAAAGTCTGCACATGAATGTAGTAATACTCCCAGTTTTTCATGGTAGTTAGATAACAATCAATAGAAGACCCTTCCCATGACAAGTCATGGCAATCCAACTCAAACCTACAGTTGAAAATGAAATCAGTTTCAAAAATACTGCTGAAGATTTTGGAATATCGGACCCCTTGCTAAGCAAATGTGGAATATATCCACATGCTTCTGAATTGGCGAACGACTAAGAATATTTGGTGTAGAAAATGGAAGACAGTTGCAAACCTGGAAAGGGGATCAAAAAGTTAATTGAACAAGTAATAAAGCAAGTGCTAGTATTTTCCTGACAATATATCTACCATGTGGGAATATCAAAGAAGTCCCTTGTTCCAGTCTTTGGCTGTGCTGTTAGTTGTATGCCGACTTGTCCATTAAAATAACATTTAGAGAAAATCTTGACTGCATTAGAAAGGCATGTAATGGACCCATAAAAAACTATCAGGGCAGTGCCAGATCAGGTTGGCACACAACCAGGCTTCTGACTTTAACTCCAACCTAGTGACAAGGAAAGCTAAGTGTAGGTACAATATAGATTGTAAGATCTTACATTACCAGGCGCTCTATTTACCAAAGATGACTGAAGAGCAGCAAGAGTTCACCTACATGGACTAGGATAATAGTGGTGATCTTTCCCGTAACTAAAGTTCCAAATAGTGTGGTGGTGAAAATTAGTCACAGCTGAACCTGGATGTGAAAACAACAAGATGATTATAGAAGAGTAGTTCCAATAAAGTTTATTTATTTCACAGCAAATATATACCTCTGAAGTAAATCTTCTTAGTCATGTAGACTAGCAGCACGCAGTGTGATATGACATCTATGAGGGATATGAAAGAATAAAAAGGCTTTGAAAGCACCCCCCCCCCACCCAATTTTTAAAAGATGGAGAACTAGCTGGTTAACCCAGGTAAAACCAAAGTAGTTCTAAGAGTAAGTTAAATGAGATATAATTGAGGGCACAAGACATCACAGATTCAAACATAAGATCTACAAAAGCAAAGGAAAATCGTTTCAAAGTTTCATCAAAACAAATAACAGCCAGGCAGATGAATGATAGAACATAGCACACAAACCAAAAGAATAAAACCAAACAGCACAGTGTTCCCATGAAAAAAGTCATTCAAAATAACAAATGAACTACACTCCAAAAACAAGAATAGAACAAGTAACCATAACAGTAACACATGGATACAAGCACTCAATAAGCGGCAAGGGCAAGGTGCAGGAGAAATTGATACAAAAGACATGTTTATCAACAACACAGCAATTTTAGTCAGTGGCAATAACAGAGAGTACAAAACCAAACAGACTTTCAAATGATAGGGAAGGTAACAGATTCAGTACACTTTCAAGACTGGTCAAACAATAAGAAAACAAGAAAAGGACAAGAACAAGCAACAGGCAAAACAACAAACATCAGTATGAGCATTCAACGATAGGCACACATGACAAGTTAGATTACTGGCAAAGCGAGCGTTCAGAAAACAAGAAATGAACAGCAATAAGAACACGCTAACAATCCTTAACAATACAAGCTCTCAACAAAAGGCAATTTAAGTCACTAGCAAAGAGTGTAGGAAACCACACACAATAAAAACTTGACAAAAAATAACAATCACTTTCAAAGAACAAAAAAACTTACACACTTCAAACAGTGGACATATCAAGAAAATTGCTGAGAAGTTGCATACACATGACACTGGACAGTTACGAAGTAAAGAAAAAGGTAGAGATGACTAAGAATTCAACTGAAAGTGCCCCACTTATCTTAATAAAATTAATTTCTCCAGCCTTTGAATCTCATTCTCAACTCAGATTGAGAAAGATATACGTCAAACTGCTAAAAATGATAAGCCCCAATAATAATTTCAGGAAAGGCAAGATGCCTTTCATCTGACAGTGGCAAGAGGAATACGCTCAAACAGTTCCAACGTTGTGTAATAATAGCTCAAGCTGGACATTACTGTCTGTCAACAGAATAAGAATATTAGCCTGCATGATAAAAACATAACATAATACACGTGTGATCAATAGAGAGCTAAGGGAACTAACCTTTTTCACTTTCAACCCTTCAATAAGAAATTCTCAGCCAATTCGCAAACACCATTCAGCAGCAGAAGCAGCAGCAGGAAGGGAAGGCTTAGAAAACTTCAGACTATAGCCATGACCTGTTGAAAGAGAAAATGTTACAGAACATTTAGAAAAGGAATCGGAAATTTGTACGACACCTTTCAGCCAAGGTAACGGTTGTACATTTGAACGTGTGAATCATTCGATTAACGAAATGCAACATAACCTCTGATGGGACGGAGAATAACAACCATTTGTAATACCATTTTCATCAAAGACGAACGCTTGATAGAAAAATATGTAACTGCAGATGGTATCGACAAGTTCAAGATAAGTTAAAGGGCAAACGATAATTTGCTCAATAATATGGAGAAACACAAGCTTCCGTTAGCGACCGTTGGAGAGTATCACAACACAACCACTTCGGACTAGACTCACTGCGACTCACAGAGAGAAGATCCCTTCGATTTTGAATTCATACTCAGAACCGTTACAGGACACATCTATCATTTTATCTAAATGAAAATGAAAGTTAATGATTATAATAAAAGTTAATAATAAAAGTTGAAATTAGAACAAAACAACAAAACAGTGGTGAGGGGGAACCGTAGCCTTGCTGGCCAAAGCACTTCCGCCGCACTCCTCGATTTTGTGCTTCTTGCCTTCTTTCTTCTTTGCTGGTCTTCCATCCAATTACCGTACCAACCCAAAAATTTTTTGAAAGCAGCTATTGAACGAATGTGCTTCAAATTTACTGTCTTTTGAAACTAAATATTCTATATCGTTTTGTGATTGTGTATTTTTTAAAAAACTTTTGTTCGCTGTACCTTGTTTTTCTGCAGCCTAACAAACAGTTGTGACAACTCAGCCGTTGGCTACTGTCATTTATTTCCCTTTCCCATTTTTTCTGCTTCGGACCAGCCCGACAAAATCAGTTGCCTCATGAAACCACTTAGCCACTTGTTGGGTTAAAAACTCGAAAAGCCTTTTAATATTTCTTCACGTTACTAGGTAAATGCTGTCAATCTCTTTCCAATAACAGTCCTGGGATTTAGCTAACTTATTGCAGCTCTTATATGTTTAGTGTTCTTATTATTATTACACTTTACAAAATTACTACTTCGTCTACCTTGTTAACCTTGTTGACATTGTGTTTTCTGTAACTTATATTTTATTTTCAGGTTCAGTTTTTCGATTTCCATGCGATGGTTAACATCAACAGGGTTAGACGCGAAAGAGGGTCTCGTAAACGTTCCTGGTTTTACCACATTAATGACGGGTATCATTACCACATAAATAACATCAGAAATAGGAAAGTATATTTGAAGTGTATTCACTTTGGGAAGCATTGCCATGGAAGGGCTTTGTACTCCCGTCGACAAGGTTTTATCCACACCAAGAGACATGACGGGTGCAGAAGAGACCGCCACTATCCTAATGTAATGCGACTTCGCAGAAGGATCCTGAAAAGATGTACATCTCTGGAAGTAATTTCGTTTAGGGAGATCATAACTCAAGAGAGTAGAGGGTGAGCAGCTGAAACCTTGATTTAACTGTGTTAACATGTGGACCTCACACTTTCTGTTTTTATGGTGTTTTCAGGTTCCCAATTGGAGTAACAAGTCGTGTTAGGCTGGCAAACATGCGCTCAGCCATGCAGAGAGCACGATACAGTGCCCTCCCACCTCCCCCTCAATCTCTGGAAGAGTTGACAGCAATTCTGCAGGATCCAAGATATAGGGTTCTGACAGCTACATCTGACGGGCGGGATAATTTGTATGCTGCTAGTGTTAATGCAGCAGATGGGTCTCATCATGTGATATTTATGACTCGACGTATGGCTCGAGTATTGAGACAACTTAAAATTTTATTCGGAGATGGCACTTTTAAGACTCTTCCAAACATGGAAGACTTGGATGCAGCTTCTCAGGTGAGAGAGAAAAAAATCAGTGCTTATTCTTGGAGCTACTATTTTAACAAAATAGTTCCTTTAATTTTGTAATTATGTCATCATTTCAGATTTTCTGTGTTGTTGGGAACTGGGACCATACTGTTTTGCCTGTAGCATGGGTGCTAATGCAGGCTAGAACAATCCCAGCTTACACAGCAGTTTTAAGTGCTATTCAAGACCTTGTGGGCAATGTCTTCCCTAATCTAGAAACATTTATATCTGATTTTGAGCCTGCCATACGCGCATCTGTCATTGCTCAATTTCCTGGTGTAACTTTACAGGGATGCTTTTTTCACCTGGTGCGAGTAAGTTCTGCATTTACAGTTAAATTGAAGAACCAGCTGCTAAAGTAACAAATCTGGACTTTGTTGTTATTTTTAATTTTTGTCTAAAGGCCTTCATTAAATATGCTAAAATAACATTGGGGATGCTTCGGCTACTGAGAAGGCAGCCTTTCAAAAGACTAATGAAACTTTGCTGTGCATTGCCCCTGCTCCCTCGTCGATTCATCAGAAGAGGTTTCAACTTGATTTTAGATGAGGCTAGAGGCTTTGGCGTCAGAGTGTATAGGCAAATTAGGCCCTTCTTTGCTTATCTCCTACGTAATTGGGTGGGAAACCCCATTAAGAGGAACTGGATGTGTGTCTTCTGATCGGAGCACAGAACTAATAATACTTGTGAGAGCCACAATCGCATGCTGCGCAACTATGTGAAGGTAGCCCATCCTAGTGTCTACCAACTCATCTGTAAGTATATGTTCATGAATCAAAGACCATACGTTCAATTTTTCTCATTTTTCTCCTTTTGATATTTTACAATGTGCTATGGATATTGAAGTGTGTAAATTTTACTTTTCACCTATGTGCATACTCCTTTCTAGGTGCTCTCATATCAATGGAAAGAAATGCAGCTGCTGATGTAAAAGCATTGAGGCAAGGTCGCCAGCCAAACCGAGGCAGGAAGACTTCGGCCATCATGTTGGATCGCCGACTGAGAACTTTGGCCAGAACTTTCAGGAATCCACCAGAGAACCGTGATGGTGTAATTATGCGTTATCTTAGTGCTGCATCGTACACCTTTGATAATGCTTACGACCGGGCTGTGGAAGAAGTTTGAAGATTGCTGGCAACTTCTGGATTGACACCAACATTCATTATCAAAGATTTTATGTAATTTTATCTAATCTAATTTATTTTTTTAGCATGCATGTGTGTTGATGTACAATTAGTCAATTCAAATCACTTACTATTTAAGCAGATATGATAAGCAGTGGCTGCAATATAGTCAAAGATTTTATGTAATTTTATGTAATTTAGCATTTTTTTAACATGCATGTGTAGATGTGTACGCCAGTTAAAATTACCGAGGATTTAAAAAGATAGTGATCAGCAGTGGTTTAATCCTCTTCTGTTTACAGTTTAGTGCCATTCTTTAGCTGCTTGGTTGTAATTCTACTTTTTTAAATAAACAAAAAAACTGTTCTTTGGTAATTGTCCTTTTCCTTTTTGCTCACCATAATTCCTCTTCAAATGCATATGACTGGTCTACTCCGTCTACTCTTTGATCGATAACAGCTAAGTTATAATTCTTTTGGACAGGTTGGTCTGCTCCATACAAGTGAGATGTCTATAAGGAAGAGCTGCATATTTGTAAATCAACTAGAGAAATTTTATCAGCATTTGGAACAATTACTGGCTCCAAGTTTCACAGACAAAATTTCAGAGTCAATTCTTAAAAACTTCTAATTTAAGGAAATAATCAAGGTGCAGGGAGCTGGTTAGCAGAAAATAGAATGTGTAAGGAAATCAATTTGATTTATTCAAAAGCAAACATGTGATACTAAATCACTCAATGAACTTGTGTCAATTGTTTGAACTATTAAAATTTAACATTATCAATAAACATAATAGCAAACTAAAGCTGGTCAATGAAGCAACAAATAAAATTAAGTTCACGAGTACCCTGACTTTGATCTTAAAGCTATAATCAAAATAGCTATGCAAAGCCATAGATAGCAAACACTATTAGAAAAAATACTGTCAAATGGAATACAATAGTAAAAACTAATCTCTAAGAATAAAAGTGAAAAGGGAAGTTTTAGGACTTCAATTCTTAAATATTAAACAGTTATCAAAAATAGAAATGAAATAAAAAATTTAAAAAAAAGTAGATACTAAAAAAATATGGCAGCAAAAACGAAACTCAACTTTTCGCTCCACCTTGCAACTCATCCAGCTTCTTCTTTAATGCTTTGTTTTCATCCATCAGTTTTTGCTTAGCAGTGGTGCTGTTCTTGCTACCCAAAGGTCGCCCAGGTCCTTTCTTTTTGGGCTGAGCAGACTTCTTCTTCACAGCACTTGTCTTTGGCTTCTTTGATGCTTTCTGAAATAAAAGTATGACATACAATTTTGTTACCTCAACTAATTTCTACTGGATGAGTTACACATTCAATGCCTCTTACCTCATCATCTGAGTCATTCTTCTTCTTTTTTTTTGTATTTTTCTTGCTGCCACTACTTTCTCCATAAGATTTACCCCATTTTCGTGTCTCCACCACCTCTAAGTCTGATCCAGTTCCATCACTATCTGATGAATCATTATCTAAGTCGTCGTCAGAAGTATCCTGGAACAAATGGAGCAGGTTTAATGACATTATAAAAATAAACTTAAAACAAGAGAGATACTTTTTCCTCATATGCAAATCATTATTACCGCATTATGCACCTCATCACCCTGACGAGCCGAAAGACATGGAAATGACATGAATTTTATGTCTTCGTATGTACATGCACTGTCCCAAATGTCCAAAATAAGTCTTAATTATGGCAATACCATGTACA